AGAGAATCCCGAGCTTGCAGAGATGTGGAGGAGTTGTTTCACGACATTGGCAAGAGTTAAGAAATTGAGTGACAGCAAAGATTAAGAACTTTAGGCAAACCAATATTCATTCATAGTCAAAAGAGAAGGAACCATAGATAAGATTACACAAGGATCAGGCATACATTAAATATGTAGACCTATTCCTCATACTAGTAGACTCATATTCAGGTTGGCCTAAAATGGTTAAAGTTTCAGACAGAAAAGCAGGTATTAAGAGTAGTATTTTCGAGGAATGGTGTACCCAAGACATTGGTGTCGGATAATGCACTGAAGAAAGCTTATGTATATGGTTAACATGAATTGGATGTAGGCCATACAAAACACCATCATACCATCCCTCAGTCAAATGGAATTGCAGAGAGGACAGTCCAGATGATAAAAGTTGGATTGAAAGCATTCTCACTAGGGAATTGCAGCCTAGAAAATTATCTGCTATGATAGCTTTTAAGTTACATGACCATCCTGCATGTAGGCAGAACATAAAGCCCCTCAGCATTGATGGGGAGACAAATTAGGGTCTCAATAACAATGTCCTTCTTAACAAATGAGAACGTATGGTACAAGAGGAATAAGGATTTGAGTCGATTTTTAGTGTAAAAAATATTTAATACATTGATATTAACAAAAAATGGACAGGGCATGTTAGCTCATGAAAACCAATTTAGACCGAGAAGAGAGTCGGAAGATATTGAAATGGAGGAAGAGCCTGGAGCTGAAAAGAGGGATCAAGATGATCACCAAGAATTGGAGAGTGAAGGGGAGGAGAAAATGAGTGTGTCTAGTAATAATGACGAACATGAGGAAGGTACAAGGGAAGAAAATTCGGTAAGATCTCCCATAAAGAGGAACCTAGGCAGTCACCATTGTGTTGGAATGTGTCACGAAAAAATAAATGATTTCGTCTCTTTTCTCCTGCTGTCATAGCGACGGACACAGTCTCCACTTCTGAGACTGAAAAAAAAACTGCCCTCCTTCTCATTTCAGCCCTTTACATAGAGCTTGGTAACTCACCTATGCAAAACACCAACAAGCCAGCTACCAATCACAGTTCCCGCGCCTGCCCACCTCCACTCACTTTGGGGGTGTCAAGTTGACCGACCAACTCATTACAACCATGAGACAAGCGGTTTGTAGAAGTAGAAGATCTACCAGGGACACCAAAAGCCTCTAATATTTTGGGAGATGTGGTGATATGGAAATTAGGTTGTATATAAGTGGGAAGCTTTCTACACTCAAGAGGTAGTTATCTTTCCTTGACTACATTGCATGTGAGAACTAAACACAACACATTAATCATTACTCCACCAAACCTACAAAAAAAAATAGTCACAATACATGGAAAAAAGGAGGAGCCAATTTCACCTGATAAGGATAATTCATAAAAATAACCCAAACCACAATACAGCACCCACCAGCTCAAATATGAAATAAGGTAGATTAAAATCTATTATGGTTAACTACCAAAGTCAGAGAAAAAGTTAAAATGATAAAAAGTAACATTATCTTTTTGCACTGTTAAAAGAAAAATGCATTAATCTTAAATGAAGAGTTGATTCTCTATCCATCACACTTTGTCTGTCTATGACTTTGTATGCACATATGTAATGTATGTGTTGTGCATGAGCAACTGATATGTGCTAGTGATATTTAATGTATTCACAAGCACACATACATACAATTTCACTGACACTGGAATAATACATTTACTTTCCACTCAGTCTGGAGAATCCCTTACCCTGGGTTAGGCAATAAAAAAAGTTGGAGAAAAAAAAAAAAAAAAAAAAAAAAGAAACTAGCATTAGCTTAATTTCCATCAAATTGTTACAAACAGAACAACATGAAAAAAAATTGTATGACTAATTGCTCAACAAAAAAAAAAAAAAAAAAAACAATAAGATTTTATTGAACTTTTCGAAAATTCAGTATCTGTCTATATTTCTGAGATGAAGTATTATGTACACTATTTACATTATTCAGACCACTGTCCTCATCTTTGTCGCCATATTTGTCACATTATCAATGGATGTCAGTTATCAGTTATCTCCTGTTAATTAACAGGAGATAACTGACATCCATTAAAAACACACTGACATCCATGGCACATGGAACTAGAACAGTCTACCCCAGTGAGCAAAATAAAGGGTTCAGTTCGACATTCCAACCACCTGAAAAAGGCCAGAGCGTACAACGGCCGAAACGTTGTAATAAATATGGAACAAAGATGAGGACAAAAGTCCAAATAATGTAAATAGTGTTTTTGGAAATTATTGAGTAACAAATAAAAATCAATTAAAATTTGTATTTTTTATTAATTTTGTAGAAATATTTTTGGTCTGTTTTTGAATTAATATATACATGCATACACAAATATATATTATATATATATATATATATATATACATACATACACATACACACATACACACAAACACATGCATACACACAGTTTGAATGAAAC